AAGACTCCATCTACAAAAAAAAAAAAAAAAAAAGCAACCACTACAGGATCAACTGAGAGCTCCTAGAGAAAGAATAGGTAGAAAAGAGTATAAGGCCAACTACCTAGCCCTGGGCATTCATTCCAGCTTTCAACTCCAGTGAGAGAGGAGGAGGAGAGTGTGGAGTTAGAAAGGAAATGAGAAACAATGCTGTGTCCAGAGAGCCAAGAGAAGTCAGTGTTGAGAGAGAGAGAGAGAGAGAGAGAGAGCGCTGTCAACTTTGATGAATGCTCCTGAGAAGTCAAGCAAGATGAACACACACACAGAAAAAACACCTTTGGCTCTGCCTATATGGAGATCGTTGGTGGCCAGGGCCAGAGCTTCCATCCAGCGATGGAGACTGCAGACTGGCTGGAGTGAGCAGCAGAGAGAAGGCGAGATTAGGAAGTGCTGCCAGCACCTATAGACAGCTCTTTCAGGAAGTTATGAGAAATAACAGCCAAGGTCACTGGAGGGGATGTGGATCAAAGAGAGAGCAGGGGAAGGAGGGGAGATGTCGGAGCAGGTTGTGTACTATTGAGAAGGAACCAGTAGAAAGGGAGAAACTGACACATTCATCAGACCCTTGTAATCATGATCATCTTCTGTGTGAATTAGTTCCTGGGTTCCTGGAACAGCATCGGGAATCAGCCACCCTGATCTTTAGCATTTATTCTGTCACTGTTACGATAGGCTTGAGTTTACGATAGGCTTGAGTTTACGATAGGCTTGCGTGTCCTCAGCTCTTAAGAAAGTGGAAATAATACTACCTTATATATGTAAGCCACCCCGATTACACGTGCTTTCATGCCATTTTCTCATCTGATGCTCACAACAAACCAAGGTGTCAGGACAGGATGTCATGCCTGTCCCTAACCTCAGAGAAGTAGCCTTCCCAGCACTGCACAGCCCGTTACCAGCAGAGCCTGGATCCCAGCCCATTGTGCTCAGTCTAGTCACCCTGGCATCTCTCCCAGGAACAGAACTGCCCTCCCTCCTCCAATTGTGTCACTAAGGAACGGTGTAAAAGACTTTCAGACAACAGAAAGTGAGATCATGGGCCAGGTGTGGTCATGAGCTCAGATCGTGAACTTTAACCTCCCTCCTAGGCAATACCCTGTGGTCAGGAGCAGGCAGAATACACAAAGAGTGGAGGCTAGATGTTCCAGACAGACTCTGAATAGGTGACAGTGCTAGGGGTTCATTCTTCTCAGTGCTGGCCACATGTTGGGCCTGGCTACTGGCTGAAAGATGCTGGGGAGGGGGATACAGCAGCTCCTAGCTCATCCTCAGAGGGTCCTGGGATCAAAAGTATTTACACCCAGGAATATTTCAAATAAATATTTTCATCTATGTGGAAAACATACAAAGTGGCTCAAGTGAGAAACTCCAGTTTCCTAAGGTTGACAAGTCAAGTGCAGTAATGATGTCATTGTAACCAATATGTTTCCAAAGTTTCCTGAAATTGACTAGCCCCACGCACTTCGAGAAGTTGGTAAGTAGGATTGTCATCATTTTATAAAATTGAGAACACGGTGTCTTACAATCACAGCCACTCACAAAGGAAGCCAGAGATGGCCCCAACCCTTCCAAAGACTCCCTGTGGACTCAGGACCAGTGGCCTCTCCTGGGCCTTGCTGTACCTGGCAAATCCAGGGGCACAGACTCAGGGTCCTGCCCTGCCGACAGAGGCTGCCTCGTCCCTCTGTGCTTCATACGTCAGCTCCTGCTCAGCCCCAGGCTACTGGGTCCCTGCTGTAGGCCCAAAACCAGCCACTTTGCTGTTTTCTACCCCCCGACCCCCTTCCCGAGGGAGGGGCTCTGGTGTGAGACACCCCCTCAGAGAGGAAAGTGTCTCCCAGCTTTGGAGAGAATCAAGCTGTCCTTTCTCTCTCTCCAGCTGGAACCAGTGGGCCGCAAGACTACCTCCAACAACTTCACCCACAGCCGAGCCAAACTCAAGTGCCCCTCTCCTGTGAGTAAACATCCCGCCTGCCCCAGGTGGAACAGAGATGCCTGGGGTGGGGGTTGTCCTGTCCCCTAGAAGCACAAAGGAGTCCCCTGGGAGGCTCCCTCAAATGCAGCTTCACTCTGCATTTCTCAAATCCCACCTGTCCCCACTGCCATGGAAACTTCTCAGGGTGTGGGCAGCCATGGAGTGAGGGGAGAGGACATTCAACAGCTCCAGCCGAAGTGAGGACAGTCAGGGAGGCAGATGAGCACTGGCGGGTGTCTGGGGTCACCCATTCCTTCTGAAAGCTCCGATGCATCCTCAGTCTTAAAAGCGCATCAAGGCCAGGCATGGTGGCTCATGCCTGTGATCCCAGCACTTTGGGAGGCTGAGGTGGGCAGATCACCTGAGGTCTGGAGTATAAGACCAGCCTGGCCAATATAGTTAAACCCCATCTCTACTAAAAATACACAAGTTAGCTGGGCATGGTGGCGGGCGCCTGTAGTCCCAGCTACTGGAGAGGCTGAGGCAGGAGAATCACTTGAACCCAGGAGGCCGAGTTTGTAGTGAGCTGAGATCATGCCACTGCACTCCAGACTAACTGATTCAAAAATAAAAGTGCAGCAAGCAGCTCTCCCGTGCCAGGCAGTATACTAGGATCTGGGGATCGGGAGGCAAAGATAAAAAAGACTCAGTGTCTGTTCCTGGAGCCGGCAATGGTCTTCCTCCCTCACCACACCCACCGCCCTCGCAGCCTGTGACTTGTCTCCCCAACTCTCCTCTCCCTCTTGTTCATCCACCCTACACTTGCTGCCAGACACAGATAGACCTTCCTGGAAATAACTTGCCCCATCAAGGCTGCTTGAAATCCTTGCCTGATCCCTACTGCCCATTGGCCAGAGTCCAGAGGGAGGGTCACCTCCCTCCATTATACACATGCTACACTCCTGGCCAGTGGATCCATCCCCCAGGATGGGAGTGCCCGCGTCCAGGACTTTCCTTCTGCCATCTGCTCCTGGAGGTTCATCCTCCATCTGCCTATGAGAACATCTGCCTCCCTCCAGGCCCAGATGTTGCCTTCACTAAGCTACAGCTTCACCTTCTCTTACCTACCATTTCTGTCTCCAGACACTCACCCGTATGGGTCTCCTTTTCCATTTGTACCTCTCATAAGACACTGACCCGGTCTCCTTTATGATGTGATTGTTTCTGCACATCTCACCTTCCTTCTGGGCCGCAAGAAAAGATAGCACGTCTTAACCCTCCGGTCTCATCACAGCTCCCAGCATGGGGGCTCCACACAGCAGGCACCCAATTCACATTCACTGAGAGAAAGGAGAGTGGAGAGGGGTGTAGGAAGGCAGGAATGCACACTGTCTGCCCACATGCCTCCCCTCCCGGCCCTTCTGATTTGGGAATCTTTCATCTACTACAAAACCAACTGTCCTTCCGTGCTGCCCTTCCCTGATTTCTGGGTACTGCTGGGATGGGAGAATGGGGACAGTTGTGACCAAGAAGAAGTAGAGGCAGGAGTTCTACAGGCTCCCCCCAAGGCTCTCTGCCACTGGTCACCTATCAGGCTCTCTGCCACTGGTCACCTATCAGTTCTCAATCTTTCAAAATCAGGTTTGACAGCAAAGAAAATGCTGGTGAGAAACCAAAAGAAGGTTCTAACTGTGTGTTGAGCTCTTTAGAGGCCCATCCCGCTAAAGAGGGTTTGGGCACAGCATAAATGAGGGAGCTTTACAAAAGGGAAGTGCTGTGAAAACATGCAGGGTTATCACAGCATCTCAGGAATGGGGACTAGGCAAGTCTTGGCTTGGTGATGGATGGTTCACCGAGGTCCTTTCCGCTGCCCCCCCCAACCCCCCACAGGAGAGCCCTTACCTCTACACCCTGCGGAATAGCCAGCTGCTCCCAGACCAGGCTGAAGAAGCCCCCAATGTGCTCTACTGGGCTGTGCCAGTGGCGGCGGGAGTCGGCCTTGTGGTCGGCGTCATCGGGACAGTGGTCTGGAGGTGCAGAAGAGGTGGCCGGAGGGAAGATCCTCCAATGAGCCTGCGCACTGTGGCCCTCTAGGCCCCGGGGGGGGTCCCTCCCTAGCCACTCTCCTCAGTGCCCTCTGCCCCAGCCACTCCCAGCCACCAGGACATGCTTCGACACCTGGTGCCATAGGAAGCCCAGGGGATAGTCACAACTTCTCGGGGCCTAGGCTTCTTCCAGGCCTATGCTCCTGGAAGGGGTATATTTAAATAAAGTTCAAAGCTGTTTTATTCCTGGGTTTGCCTGTGTGAAGCACTTGCCTTTCATCTCTTGTGCAGCCCAGGTGTGGGAACTGCCGCCTTTCGTGGCCTGCCTCCAGCAGGGCTGCCCAAGCCACGGCCAGTCAGAGCCCAAACTGCCTGCCACCACGAGCATATATCCTCAAATCACCAAACTCACTATTTCAAAGGCAGAAAAAGCACTGGTCACCAGGTGGTGGCTGGAATTTTGGAGCTGGCTGGCCACCATTCAGTCCAATCCAACACATACTTATTAAGCAACTGTTTTGTGTCCAGGACAATGCGGAGCACTGAGGTGCCTCCTAGGCTGTGCATGTCACAGCCTGGCCGAGAAGTCAAACTCCTTCAGTAACCAAGAAGCCATGCAATGATGTGTAACTACTAGGGCATCAGTAGGTAAATGTGTCTCTTTGTTTTAAAGAATAGAAAGGGTTCTTCGGGGACAGTTTCTTGGGAGAGCGCAACTTTCACATGTCATTTTGAGAAAAAGGAAAAAAAATGATTGAGACACAAATACCTCCTATATCCTCAACCTGATTTTCTCAAGGTGCTAAATTTAGGAAAAAAATCCTATTTCTATATGACCAGGTTTCTGAGAGAAAGCTAGAGAGAGTCCGAAAATATAGGCCGCATTCACTGAGCCCCTGCTAGGGGCAAGGCCCCGCGCTGGAGGCCTTCCACAGATGGTGTCTTTTATTCTGCACAAAAGCCCAGGGAGCGGGTAAAGGGAAAAGCTTTGAAAATAGAAGTGATGGTTGCGCAACACTGTGAATGCACTAAAGGCCACGAATTGTTCCATTTAAAATGATTAATTGTGTATCATGTGAATTTCACTTCAACATAAAAGAATCCAGGGAGGTAGACATCATCTGCATTTTAAACCTCTCTCTGATCCTGAAGTCCGGGATGACAAAGAGCCTGAGTCAGAATCCCGGATGCAACACTGAAATGTTGTGCCCTGAAGCTGCCTTCGCCAGCCTGAGCCCAGTTTCTTGGACTCCGCATCTGTAAAAATTGGAATAAGAGTACACATTTTGCTTATCTCACAGCACTGCTGAAAAGTAAAGAGCTGTGTGTAAACCTCTAACTCTAAAATGCTGCACAAATGAAAATGGCCTTTTTCCTCTGTGAAGACTTGGGATAAGGCCCAGACTGTTGGGGAAGATGTGAGACCCAGAGATGAGTTTGGGGAAATGGGGTAATAACATATGGGTGGAGACTGCCCGCCTTCCTCTCAGAGAGGTTCATCATCTCACCTCTTTCTGGCACAACAGAGAACCTGGAGGACCTACACCCAGTTCCATGTTCTTCTGGGCTTCAGTGTCTGTTTCTATACAATGGGAACAGCATGCGTTCCCCTACTTTTTCCTATAGACGAAAACGTGGTGACCGAGTCACACATCCCAGCTTATGCTCCTGGCTTAAGACAGTGTCCCAACAAAGGTAACCCTTAGGCTCCTGGTTTGAGACAGTGTAACGACAAAGGCAACTCTCCTGCTCCTAGTCTGAGACAATGTAACGACAAAGGTAACCCTTACACTCCTGGCTTGAGACAGTGTAAGGACAAAGGTAACATATGAAGTCTAGGAGTTCGCTTCACGGCCCCTCCCCTCCCCCACCCCTTTTCTTTCCTGCAAGTTTCTATTCTTCCAGCAGCTTCTACTTCAAAGCAGCAAGGATCCATAACCACAGGCGCCCCTCATTTGGGTGTGGGGAGGGGAGGGTGTTGGAACTCACACTGCCAGAGTAATCTAGACTAAAACATCAACAAATGGTCCCAGCTGGTTCGCCAGAGAACACTTGGCAAAACAAAGAAATCCTTTCTGGAGCAACACAGACACAGCCACAAACCAGGCACCAGATTCCCAGCAAGTACGTGCTAAGAAGCCAAAAATTAAAAATACGTGAGAAGCACCCACTTGAAACTGGTGGTATTATGTACATACACTGGCTGTGCGCCCTGTTGTTTTTCTGTAGGAAAATGTCCAGTCTAGCTAGGAGGGCACCCACAGCCAGGCCATGAGCAAAGCCGCCAAATCCTGAGGAAGCCACAATCCATGGCACTCCCCATAGAGGCTTCTGAATTCAGAAAAGAAAGATTCGTGTGGCTTAAACCTGGTCCACGCCTTCCTAAAGGACATGGAACTTTGAGCTCTGAAAAGATGGAGAGAGGGTTACCAAAAGGACTGGGGTGTCCAGACTGGGAAAACTCTGTGTAGGTGGAGAAATGAGCATCGTGAATATGGGGGACCAGGAGGCGGCCAGGAAAAATAAGAATGGATGAGCTGGATATGGGTTAGAGGACGTGATGGAAAGGATGAGGAGTTGATAGCGATTACGTTGTTGTGATGGTTGTGACATCAGGCTACACTTGACTAGGGAATATAAATGTTAGTGAGAAAATATTTGTACAAAGAAAATGCTAATAAAAGTTGACATAAAGTGCTTATGCTGTGGTGGGCACCGTGGTGCACAATAATGAAACTTCACACATCCCTATTACCATTCCCTTTCTACAGAGAAGGAAACCAAGACTCAGGGAAGAAGTAACTGGCCCAGAGTTGTACTTTCATTACATAATGCGGCATTTGTCCAAATGAATACCGGAGCCCAGAGTAGGGTGGTAACCCAGAAAAATAAAACCACCACCAGTTCCAGCAGTGAATTGGGCCAAATTGCAAATAAATGTGGTATAAAAGACCTAGGATGTCATGATGGCACCATTGTTCCTCTGCTTCCAACTGGTCTGAAAAACTCAGCTATCTCTAGTTAATCATCTATGGTTTTTTTTGTTTTTTTTTTTTGAGATGGACTCTGGCTCTGTGGCCCAGGCTGGAGTGCAGTGGTATGATCTCAGCTCACTGCAACCTCTGCCTCCCAGGTTGAAGCGATTCTCCTGCCTCAGCCTCCTGAGTAGCTGGGATTACAGGCATGTGCCACCTTGCCCAGCTAATTTTTGTATTTTTAGTAGATACAGCGTTTTGCCATGTTGGTCAGGCTAGTCTCAAACTCCTGACCTCGGGTGATCCACCCACCTTGGCCTCCCAAAGTGCTAGCATTACAGGGGTGAGCCACCGTGCCCAGCCAATAATCTATAATTTAAAACATTATGGGGACTAAGATTTCTTTTGCTAGTGTATGTATGACATTATAGCACAAGCTTGTCCAACCCACAGCCCATATGTGGCCCAGGACGGCTTTGAATGCCACCCAACACAAATTTGTGAACTTTCTTAAAACATGTCGAGATTTGTGTGTGTGTGTGTTTCTTTTTTAGCTCATCACCTATCTTTAGTGTTATTGTATTTTATGTGTGGCCCAAGACAATTATTCTTCTTCCAATGTGGCCCAGAGAAGCCAAAAGATTGAATACCCTTGTTCTAGCAGCTAATAAATCATTTAGTTAGAAAAAAACAATCCCTGTGAGAATCAAATGTAACAACTAGCAAGATTAGACTTGCACATTTTACATAACAGCAACATTGAAAAAAAGACTATGTTTGGAAAGATAAAGACAAAAGGAATTTAAAACATGAGGCAAGAACACCATGTTATTTTTTAAAAATAAAGGCAGATTTGTGAAAGAACTAAGTCCAGATAAAACTTCCAGAAATGAAATACATTGTTATTAGAGAGAAATAAACTTAAGTAAATGTGTTCAAATAACAGGCTGGGCCCTTAGTGAACCAACATTTGTGTGTTTATTGTATACCAGGTACTGTTTTTAAGCAGTAAGTCTGTATTTTTCATTAATTCTCACAATAGCCCCTTGAAGTAGGTGCTATAATCCTTACAGAGAAAATGAAGCATGTTCTGTATCTTTTCAGTCTTTTTGTAAGAATTAAATGAGATAAAAACAATACTCAAAAAATAGGTATTCAATAATTAGCTCTCTCTCTTTTCTATATCAGTATTAATTCCAATACAATATGATTCAGGGGCTTTGTAAAATAATCACAATAATTAAAATCTACCTGGCACCTTACAGTTAACAAAACATTTTAATATGTTCTTATTTGATCCATACCACAAACTTGTAAGGTAAGCAAAGTACAGTACAGCAGTGCCTCCTCTTATTAGTGGGTGATACATTCTTTTTTTTTTTTTTTTTTTTTTGCCCTGAGAGAGTCTTGCTCTGTTGCCCAGGCTGGAGTGCAGTAGCACAATCTCAGCTCACTGTCGTCTCCACCTCCCAGGCTCAAGCGATCCGCCTGCCTCATCCTCCCAAGGAGCTGAGACTACAGGCGCACACCACCATGCCTAGCTAATTTTTCTATTTTTTGTAGAGACAGGGCTTCGACATGTTGCCCAAGCTGGTTTTGAACTCCTGAGTTCAGGTGAGCCACCAGCCTCGGCAGCCCAAAGTGCTGGGATTATAGGTGTAACAGGCCACCATGGCTGGCCTATTAGGGGATACATTCTAAGAACCCCGTGGCTCACTGGATGCCTGAAACCATGGATAGTGCTGAACTATATATATACAATGCTTTTTCCTATACATACACACCTATAAGGTTTAATTTGTAACTTGAGATGAACAACAATAAAAGAATTATGATATACCATAAAAATTATGTGAACGTGGTCTCTCTTGCCTCCTCACCCTTCTTGTGTTGATGTTGATGTGAGATGGTACCATGACTACAGGATGAGATGAAGTGAGGGGAATGAGGTTAGGCTACTATTGACTTTCTGACCTTGAGGAACTGAAACCACAGAAACTAAATCGTAGATAAGGAGGGGTGACTATATCTTTAAGAAAATGTATCTCAAACTTAGAAATAAGTGACCACATGTCCTGTCAATGTTATTTAACTATATTCTAAGAAATATTTAGTTATCTAGACTGTACCTGTGTTTGACTTTGCCATTTATGACTATTTAATTAGAGCCTGAACACTATGAAGTTATGTTGACTTGTGGATTTCTGACGGGCAAAAAAAGATAACCTCAGGGTTATGGTTTTATGCCTCTATAGCACATTAACCAGTTTTGTATCTATTAGCAAAAGCATTTTAGCTTGCCAGGGCTTAGCAAAAGCGTGACACTCCATTGCTCCACTACCACCACTCCCATCTTCGTGCAGTGCTCAGAAGACACTGAATAAGTCACTCTAAGCTCGATCCACTGTTCTGGCAACTGGCACTGTGACATAGCAAGAGCCTGTCTGCCATCTCGGAGAGACCTAGAGTCTACTACTATTGGACTCTGGCTGCGTCGCCCAGCAAGAAGTATGCTGCTGTCAGAACTGTTTCCAACAGTGCTCAGGGGAGTAGACACAGAAAAGAAAGTGAGGAGGATGAAAAGGAGAGGAAATTAAGGAATCCCCTAAATATTCCAGTGTTTTAGTCATTTGAATTTTATTTTTTATGGTCAATTAAGATCTGAAATACAATCAACCTCAATGACTGAAGAATCCGCACTCCTCAGGGAGTAGGGGATAAGATGGGAATGAGAAAAATGATTCTAATCCTGAGTAATTAGGAATGACCCTATTTCTCCAACTGTAACAAA